TCTAATTTAGAGGCTCAATTCTACTATGTAAATATCAAATTTGGAGTTCATTTGATAATTCAATTGATGATCCAAAACCTCTAAATAACCTTCAAAAGCTTAATAAAGGCTTGATTGGTTCGGGCTTGAACCAATTTTGATATCATTGGGTTTCTCACCGAGATGGTCTATTTGATTATAAACTTGATGAAATCGAGTCCGGATTATCTTAAATTTGAATGCAGAGCATTATTTATAAAAAATACATCGAGATTCGTGCTTAATAAACACATTGATGACACATCAAAGATATAAATTACAATCAAGTTTTTTTACTATTAGATAAAATGAATAAGTACACATAAACACGTTCATCAAAATTAAAAAAAAATAACAATATTAAATTTACATACATGTTGGTATCAAATTATAATGTTACTATTACATATATAATTAGATAAGTTCTACTTAATTAAATTAGTTCCCAATCAAGCAGCTCAATCTCCATGGCTTTCCCTTCAGCACAATACCACACAATCCTCCTCCTCCTCCTAATAGTTTTCATTATCGTCTCTGCTAAAACTACACTGCACGTCGGCGAGATTTTGACGCCATTGAGCCGGCCCTTGACAGTCAACGCGCCGGCAATTTTCAAAATATTCGCTGATTGTGATGTTGCTCTGCATACAGGCAATATTTGGTCCACCGGCACCTGTCGTGATAGCCTCTCAGAACCTAAAGACACAGGAAAAAATATTTCATATAGAGTCCTGATATAACTCTACATTCGGACTTCAATAAAATTTTATCACGTGTATTTGACTGGACGCACCTAAAAAATGACAAAAAGATGACAATAACACCCTAATAACATTGCAGTGTTATTTACATGATCCTCCGGGCAATGTTTTTGGTGTTGTTCATGGGTGTTATTTCAGAGTTATTGTGGTGCTATTAGAGTTGTTTGCAAGGGTTATTGTGGTGTTACTGCGGTATTATTTACGTGATTCTTTGGGCGGTGTTATTGGCGCTAATCATCGGTGTTATTGTGGTGTTATTTGAGTCATGTTGCCGGGTGGGTTTATTGAAGCGAAACTTTGGAACGCGCTAATCATCGGTGTTATTGTGGTGTTATTTGAGTCATTTTGCCGGGTGGGTTTATTGAAGCGAAACTTTGGAACCAGTGGTGTTGCGGTCTTATTGAAGTTGTTTTGCAATTACACCACAATAAGCACCTTTTCGTCATTTTTTAGCCCAATCAGATACACATGACAGAATTTTATTGGAGTCCAGACGCACTGTATGGAATTTTTTTTTCCTCAGAAGAGGGTTAAAAATAATCGACTCGAAGATAACGATTGTGGGTGCGTGGTTGACCAAGAACGAGGAAGAGGAGGCCATGGCTGCTATACTCCATGCTTTCTACTGCATTGCATTTACATACATAGCTCGCAATTCTTATGTCCTTACATATCTAAATCAAAATATTATTTGGGGTTTCTGGACACTTAGCACTTGAAAGCTTGGTATTTACATAATAGCACCTGAAAGTTTATATTTATGTCCATTGCACCCAAAACATCTTAAAAAGCACAGTAACAACATTCTGTCAACTTTGTTTAGTCAGAACACAGAGGAGTGAGGCAAGATCTAACAGCCATAGAATCAGATGTGGACGATGAGGAAGAAAAACTTGAAGGAGTTGTGTTATTGTGTTTTCAGAAGTTTTGGGTGATGTTCTTGTGCTGATAGTTGCTCTCTGTTATTAGACATTGATGTTGGAGAAGTTGAAAATTTATCACAAGTTGCCAAAAAATTTAGGTGATGTATAGTGACAATCTTGAAAATTTGTTGATGGGCAACCAAGCTATGGACAGTAGTGCAGACCAACTCTTGGAGTCTTGTGTCAAGCAAGTCTTCTTAATATTCATTTTAAAGCGACAATAATAGTGCGAGCACCAACGCACGTGTGCACGCGCATAGCGAGCACACTCTTCTGAAGTGGGAGTCGTCAATTTTGAGTGTTTTAATATTTTTTTGAGAATTATTTAATTGGATTATTATTATTATTATTATTATTATTATTATTATTATATATATAAGAGAATTGGAGGTGGTCAAGGCTCGTGATCTTATGGCGAGGCACAAGTCTTCTCTTATAAAAGGTGTTGATTACTCTCATGGGATATACTAATTTTGGAAGATTTCAAGGCCAATAATTCTATTAGGAGACGTATGTCTTCCCTTGAAAGAGGTGTTGACTAATATCATCAAACATATCGAGTTTGGAGGATATCATGGTCTGTAATCCTGCGATGAGGCGCATATCATCCCTTAAGAGAGGTATTAACTACTCTCATCGGATAGAGAGAGTTTGTAGGTGATCAAAGCTTGTAGTCCTATGGTGAGGCATCTATTTCTCTTGAAAGGGGTGTTGGCTACCCTTGTGTGTTATTCAAGGTTTAGAGTTGCACCTATCTTCCTTAAAAGTGGTGTTGAATATCTTCATCAGATAAATCGAGTTTAGAGGCGATCAAGACCCATATTCCTCTTGCAAGGCACCTATCTTCCCTTGAAAGAGATGTTGTTCGTCCTCATTAGAAAGATTGAGTTTGGGGGCGAACTAAGCCCCTAATCCTAAGATGAGGAACGTGTCTTCTGTTGAAAAAGGAGTTGACTAGCTTCATTAAGCAAAATGAGTTTGGAAGTGATCAAGGCCCAAAATCCTATGATGAGGCTCTTGTCTTCCCTTGAAAGAGGTGTTGACTAGCCTTATTGGAAAGATAGAGTTTAGAGGTGATCATGGCTCATTGTTCTACAATGAGGCACATATCTTCCCATAAATGAGGTGTTGACTTCCCTCTTCAGACAGACCAGGTTTGGAGGGGATCAAGGCTCATAGTATTATGATGAGGCACTAGTATTCCCTTAAATGAGGTGTTTACAAATCTCAACTAATAGAATGAGTCTCAAGGCAATCAAGAATTGTGGTTCTCTGATGATGGTGGTCGAGTAATTGTGGGTTTGATGGTCGTAACAATAGTAATGGTTGAGCATTGATGATAGTGATTTAGGAATGTCAATAGCAAAGTGATGGTGGTTATGTTCAGTATTTTCTTGTGAGTATTAGTCAGAATTATAAACTGTGAGTAGGCAAACTCCTAATACTTAATATTTTTATCATAACATGATTCCCCCCATATTGGTGTCTATTAAACTTGTCACCTTCGAGCTTCTCGTAGAACCTACCCAACATCAGAGGCGGAACCAGTCTCCTTTTTTAAGGAAACCTGGCCCTTAGACTCAACGTGAGAGGGGTTAGGCAATGAAAGACAAAGTGATATTTCAAAAAGGGTAAAACTTATATTTCATGACAGGTAAAAAACCAAATCGCCCTCCCATATAAATAAAAATCTCAATTTGAGGGCTTGGGTGTGCGAGGGTGCATAAATCAAGGCATAATAAAAATCTCAATTTGACGAAAGTTAAAATTTTGGTAAATATAATAAATTGCACTTTTAATTCTTCCAACCAAACTAGGCCAGTCAAAAAAGCTCGTTGTTCGCGAACAGCTCGTGTTTGGCTCGTTAAGTAGCTCGTGTTTGGCTCGTTCGTTAAGTAAACGAGCCGAACAAGAACAAGTTTTTAAAGCTTGAATTATAAAGCTCTTTGTTCGCTCGTGTTCGGCTCGTTTTAGCTCGAGATTAAAAAAATATATAATTATTTATATAATAATATATTATATATATTTATATCTAAGTTTAAATCATAACAAGTCGTGTGGTAATGTGGTTAGTACCTTCTTTTATATATATTTGGTTCAAGTTCGAATCCCACAATTTACATTTATTTTTATCAATTTAATTTTTCTGAGTCAATTTCGAGCCGAACCCAATTTCGAACACGAGTCGATTTTGAACACGAGCTATTTTGAACGAGTCGAACCCGAACCAAGCCTAAAATCACCCGTAGAGAGAGAGAGAGAGAGAGAGAGAGAGAGAGAGAGAGAGAGAGAGAGAGAGAGAGAGAGAGAGAGAGAGAGAGAGAGAGAGAGAGAGAGAGAGAGAGAGAGAGAGAGAGAGAGAGAGAGAGAGAGAGAGAGAGAGAGAGGAGAAGAAGAAGAAGAAGAAGAAGAAGAACCGGCAAGAGTGCAAATTAAAGCCCTTAAAATTGCTATTTACTGGAACAAGGTTTAGTCTACCTTTCAAGGAACATGATTTAGTCTGTTGTAAAAAAAAATAAAGGAAAAGCGATAATAATTTATTGACATAATTATATTATTGTAATGTTAATTAAAAACTAATTTAGAATACGATTATTATCTAATTTTCATCATAATCCTTTAATTATGTGTGATAACTTTGTTTTAATATTTCAACATTGCCTTTTGAATAAGAATGCTAATTACTGGGATCAATGCTGTCATCATATAAAATATTAAAGCCCATATAACCTGTAAATATATTATTGCAATTGTTTTAATGTTTCAACGTTGACATTGACATAATTACATTATTGTAGTTGTTTGACGTGCTAACATAACATAATCATTTACAACCAAGTCGGAATACTTACCTATGTTACACGAAAGATTTGGCAGGTATGAAAATAAAAAGTTTTGGTGCTAGATATGCAAATAAATAGAAATTGGGCGGTATGTATGTAAATACCCCAAGCTTAATTATCCCACATCAAGTCCACTTACACTTAAAAACTCATTTAACCTGTAATGCTACAAAAAGGACTTGAAATAAGACAAAATCATTATTTGTCTGACTTGTTGACATAGTTTTGCTTAATTTGTCTATATGCATCTCGATTCACATATAATTACATATGTAACACCCTAGGTTTGTTATTTACACATTTAAAAAGCTATGAAGCTTGGTTGTTATAGATGCAAATATGAAAGTTTAGGTGTTTGATATGTAAAACTCTTAAAAATATCTTACATGCATGCACTATATATATACATATATAGCTTAGTAAATTACACCACAATAAAGCATACCTTAATCTCCATGGCCTTCCCTTCAGCTCTGCAACATAGACTCCTCCTCCTCCTCCTCCTCCTCCCTGCCATCTCTGCTAGAAGCAAACTGCGTGTAGGAGAGGTCATGACGCCATTGAGCAGACCCCTGAGAGTTTCATCACCGCACAATCTTCACTATACATTCAAAATCCATGCAGATTGTACGGCCGCCCTGCACGTCGGAAGGAAGAAACTATGGGAGTCCAACACCACCAGACCCTGGGGGAGACACTGCATCATGGAGCTGCAGCGTAACGGACAACTGGTCATTTATTCTGACTGGGGCGTTGACGGGAAAGTTGTATGGAGGAGTAGACCCAAGGATAAAGTCTCATACAAGTATGTTTTTGAGCTCCAGACAGATGGTAATTGTGTCATCTCTAAAGGGAATGGTGAACCTATTTGGTCCACTCAGACCAATCGTGATGGCTTCCCGCAACCCGAAGGCACCGACGCAGCCTCTAAACTTAAAGGCGCCGACGCACGAGTAAAGAAAAAGAAAAAGAAGAAGAAAAACCCTAAAAACAAAAGTGATCTATGATGAAGAAGGCATTGGTTGGAAGAGCTGGTCATTATATGGTTGATTCATTTGATGCATACAACAATTTTAGGGTTTCATTTAAATAGATCTGGGATCACTAATCATTTGTTGATTTAATTGAGTGTTATTTTGTTTAAATATGTAAGATCTATAGTACATAATTGTATGTTTATCTGCCTTCTCATTTGTGCATGTACTATAGATGAACATACTTGCAATGAATACATATTTTATTCACATAAAACATGCTTTAGGAGGTTCATATGCATGGATATAAGCATCACAATTGCATTATTTTCTAATACTATATAGGTGAATTTACATACATACCCGAAAGTTTACCTCTTACACCAAATCGCTAATATCACATCAAAAATACAATTAATTTAATTTCTAAGAAGTGGAGTACACCTTTTCATGCATATGTAAGTGGCATATATGTAAAATTTGAGCTTTAAGAATCAGATATGTAAACACATAAGAATTGAATGCCATGTATGTAAATTCCTAATTACGTATTAAAAGGAGTTGCTACCATAATTACCGAGATTAATGTAAAGAGCAGCCATGTCTTCGATGCACAAATTTCACATTAACTAAATTCTCATTTACAGCTTTCTTTATTCTTCTCTCTTGGTCTAACAATATCTAGCTATAATTATTTCATTATTTTATTAATCAAATTTATCTAGTGATTAACCAATACTAGACTTTTTACTTTATGCATCTACAAAATTGTGGTGCATCTATGACTATTGACATCCTCAATTGAGCCATCTTGCTGTTGCTAAAGTTCAAGGATAATATTTTATTGAAAGATTTATGTATATACCACTTGGTTCTTATGTATTTACATATCTAAAACCTGAAATTTTATTTTACATACCACCATATATGCATGAAAAGGTGTAGTTTACTTTTTTTTCTTTTTTTAAGGTTAAAATTATGAAAGTTTTTGTGATATAAATGTTTTGGGTGATGTAGATGGAG